AGAAGCTAGAAATAGGAAATATCTTCATAAACATGGGGAATAGTAATAGGTATGTCTCTATAAATGTGTACTGAGTATATAGATTAGCCAAATATTTTAATAAAGGCTTAAAAAAAACTCTGAAATTAATAATATAAATTAAAAATATTTTGAAATCTTAATTAAAAATCAAAGTGTACTTTCTTTACATAGTTTTAAATCAAAATTACTTTTATTTTATCTTAAGCCAAATAAGCATATGGTTAAATTTAATACTTTGAAAATCTTCATCTTTAATCTTTAATCTTTAATCTTCATCTTTAAAATCTTTAATCTTCAAAATTTTAGGGCCTCATGTATAAGAAATTCTAAATAAACAAACTAAAAATAAAGCTGTTTTAATTAGAATATATTAGTTAAATAGTAATTACATTACTTTAACATCTCGTTGAACCAATCCAAGAAGAGACACTTACTCTTAGTCGTCAAGTCTTGTTTTGCACATTCTCCTTCTGCAATTGATACATCATCAATAGCAATGTCACCTTCTATGCCAGGACCTCGAATACCTTCAAAAATGAGCTACAAATATGAATGAAACAAACCTAAATGTAGAGCTTTAATTTGCAGAACAATTTCTATTGAGAAATTGAGGAGTGAAACCTAATGTTTTCAACAATCCAGGCATCTTTTATTCCTGACAGTCTTCAAAATTGTTCTTAAAAAATCTATCTTAACAAAACTAAAAATGGAATCTTTCTTGCAGAGTATTAGTTTTTCACAGCAAAAGCCTTGTATTGATTTTAAAACAAAACCATGCTTAGTTGAATAATATAATAAAACAACTACTACAAATCATATTAATTTTCATTTTCAGGAGTGAGGAAAATTTTGTTTGAGAGGTATTTCTGTGAAATAGATTCCCTTTAAATTTCTCTAGGCATATGTCATAACATTGGTTTTCTAGAAATATTTTAAGGAATGCACCAGTTCTGAGTTCTTCAGTATTATGTTTATTGAAGCTCACAGCAAAAGTTTACCATCACTTTGAAATTTTTCGATCATTTGTAAATATAGTATTCATACTCCCAGATGTTATGATTCACCTCTATAATTTCTCTTTTGACATTCTATTTTTAAACACTTGAAGATATTTATAGATCTACTTATGGTGAGTGTTTAGTAGTGAACCTCTGAACTTTCAGTACAATGGTTGGCACTGAGGCTTAATATATGAGTGTTGAAATAATAGATGAATTAAATCATCTCCCTTGATTGCTGAATTCTGGATACAATGACTATATCAGGACAATTTGCAAATTATTATAATAATAATTATAGTTATTATTATTTTATTCTTACAGAAATGACTCAGAATTTTCTCTGTAACTCTCCAATTATTCTTTGCTTCCAGCAAAATCTTTTAATCCTTTTTATACTAAAAGACAATTTATGCATTTTGTGATTATATTCCCAGAAAAAAATATCTACATGTCAAAATGAAATATCTTGTTTGGTCTTTCAAAAGAAAAATTAGCTTAATTAAGATCTATTTCAACATTGAGCTGATATGTGCATTTTTAATATAATTTCTAGCCTTATTTTATTGAAACAATTTGGAGTGAAAGTCTATTTGTATCAATACCAAAATTTTTGTTTTTACTTTTTGTTCGTCTTTGATAACATCTTAATACAGCTTCTTAAAGGCATACTTGTGATTTTCAGAGAATTTAAGCATCCTTTAAGAAGCAATCTTTGATCCATTGATCTCTGATATGCTATCATAATTTTATCAGTTGAACTCTCTAATTAATAAGCAGAAGAATTAGTTATCAACTTTCACAGAGTTCCTGCTCCTCCCACTTAAATATAATCCATAAGTGTAAAAATAGTTTTCATGATTTGAAGGAGAAAAACACTTGAGAAGTTTTTATTACTATATTTAGTTTCTGTAGAGAAGGTTTCCTGCTTACTTTGTTGAGATAAGTATGTTAATAATGTCCAAAGCCATTTCTTTGAAAAGCATCCAAAATGTCTTGTATCACTGAAATCATAATAAAATGGCAGGACAAAGTTAAAATATTCAGAATTAAGTTGGCAGTATATGAATGCTCAGTCCTCAGAATCAGCAATGAAGCATTAACTACTTTGTCTGAAAATAATGACTTACATTTGACTTGGGGTGTTGTTTTGAAAGGTATCTTGGAAGTGGCTAAAAGTTCTCAGAGGATTGTTTAAATCACAAGTGAGGATTAAAAAAAAGTAGATTAAACATTTTAAAAACTAAATATAGAAAAGGAGAAGTCATCTTAATAGCTGCAGAATAATCCATCTTAGAGACACATCATAATTTATTTTAAAAACATCTTATTGTTATTGCTGGACATTAAAATTATTTTCAGCTATTCTGAACAAGGCTGAGATGAATACATTTTAAAATATTTTTATCCACACTTATTTAGAGCACATGGCTTTTTAAGTTCATTATAAATTGCTGCTATCAGCACTCTTATCTATGAGACGGCATTGTTTTTTTTTTTCCTAACTGTGTGTTTTTAAGTCTTTTCGAAATTTTCCTTTTTTTTTTTTTTTTGATAAATGCTGCTTACCTGGTAGAGAATCAATGTTAGAGTAAATCAGTGGTTATTCCCACCCCCTTCTTAGTTTTAGTTATGCGATGCTAAGTCTTCTCTCCTAAAGATAACAACATGAATGAAATGTTATCTTGGAGAAAGTCAGAACTCATAGATTCATGCTGATAAGAGTCTTTTTCCATAAAATCAAACATTTCCACTTTAGCCTCAAGGCTAATACTTTATTGAATGCAAATGGAGCGCTGTCATCACAAATTTTTCTTTTATGCAGGTATTTTAAAGGATCAAATTGAATAAAGTATAGATTTCTGCCTCTCAGTCAACTTCTAATTCTAAAATGAAGCAGGAATAAGAATGTTTATTAGTCAGGAAATTTTGGTATGGTAAAGAGGAAATCTCCTTAGTCACCAATAGTTTTAATTTTAAAAGATGAAGTGAGAAGGAAAAGGAAGTAAAAACACTGTTTGCACAGTAGAATACAGGATTTGAAACAGCCATGGCAAAGAAAAGAGGATTACATTCTCATATGCTATGTGTGGGAAGTGAGATGTTGATGAAAAGGCTAATAAGGATAGGTGGGAATGTTCTACACATGTTCACACCTGAAATTTAAACAGAAGCTGAAGTCATAATCCTTTTATTGGAAAGGATGCTGGAGAAATGAGCTTGGGAGTTCATGAATTTTTCCATTTTTGCTATATTGAGGTGAATAGATAATAAAATTATCCACAATATTTTATTATTTAAAGTGCAGAGTTATTTTCTATAAGGTCCTGTTATTAGGAGATGAGTCACTATAAAATAATGGGGTTATTTAAAAATCAAAAATAGGGGTTCCAGTCAAAATGGCAGAGTAGGTAAATGCTGTGCTTGCCTCCCATCACAATCACAACAAAACTATAGAACAACTATCATTGAGAACTACCTGAAGTATAGCTGAATAGAAGTCCTACAGCTGGAGACTTAAGAAGAGCCACTTAGAGACTGCTAAAAAAGGTGGAGAAACGGAATAAGCTGGTCCCCAAACCTGCCTGTGGCAGTTGAGAATGAGTAGGAATGTCTCGGCTGCAAAGTTTCTCCTAGACGAATGAGGGGTCTCATCTTACACCAGGCTCCCCAGCACAGGGTTCCAGTGCTGGGAAGAGAAGTCTCCACAACTTCTGGCCGTGACACCCAGTGGAATTTGTGGCTGAATGAGACAGAGGGTGCTGAAGTCACAGATGTTCCTCTTAAAGGGCCCAGGTATATAGACTCACTCACTGACAGACCTCACTCCCTCAGCTTCAGCTCTAGGGCAGCTGTTAGAAAAGTGACAGGGACCTATAGGGAGGAACTGGGCTGTCTGGCTTCAGGGCAAGTCTGGAGGAGCAAATTTTTCCAAATAGAAGTGCTGGCAAAAATTCATTGTCTCTTTGTTGATCTCACCCCTGTCCTGGCATGTAGAGGCAGGCAGCCACCATATCTGTGTCTCCATCAACTTGGCTAACACGGGTTATTCCATCCTGGTGATTCCGAGATCTTGCCCCACCCAACTTGCAGGCCCACCCAAGCCACCTCCAGTGCCTTTGCCATATGAAAGGCCTATCTTGGCTCATACTGCAAACTTTCCTAAAATCTCCCAAAGGTATCCAAACCCAAAATAAGCAGCATCTGGCCTCGATGTGCCCTGTACCTCTTACTGAGAAGCCCCAACCCTGGCAGTAGTGGCAGCTGGCCTCAGCTCAAGGCTAGGCCTCTTGAGGCACCTCTAAGCCCAGCATGGGTGGCGGCCATCTGTGGATTGTTCAGTGACCCTTGTCAGGTGGTCCTGGGCAAGGCACGAACCAAGACTGAACTTGGCCTGCAGTGGGGCCCCTCTTAGGAGGTCCTGGGGCCAGCATGCCTAGTGCCCCAGCTTCTGTCCTAGCCAAAGCATGCCGGCTTCTGTCCTAGCCAAAGCATCATCAAGGGTTACATCTGAGGATGACACATGCAAAAGGCAGACTGGGCAGGCACCAGAGCCCTGATAAAGTGAATCTTTCTTTATAGGGTCAGCACCTCATCAGCTAGTCCTCATAACCAATCAGCCTGAGGGTCAATCCCTCTCACTGACATACAAGTAGCAACCAAAGTTTAACTACCACAGGAGGACACACATAACTCACAGAAGGGGCACACCTAGAGTACCCAGCTGAGATAAACAGGGAAGACTGTGTCACTGGGCCTCACAGGACACCTACTACATAAGGCCACTCTACTAAGATGGGGAGACATAGAAACCCTACCTAATATATAGAAACAAACACAGGGACAACAATCTACCACATACAGAGTTCAAAACACTGGTCATAAGGATGCTCAATGAACTTAGAGGAACAGTAAATGAACTCAGTGAGAACTTTAACAAAGAGATAGAAAACATAAAAATGGAGATAGAATATATAAAAAGAACCAGTCCGAAATGAAGAATACAATAATTGAAATGTAGAATAAATTAGAGAATCAACAGTAGATTAGATGAAGCAGAGGATCTAATCAGCAATTTAGAAGATAAAGTAGTAGAAAATACTCATTCAGAACAGTAACAAGAAAAAAATCCAAAAAAATGAGGACGACATCAAGTATAATAACATTCACGTCACAGGGGTATCAAAATGAGAAGAGAGATAGCAAGGAATTGAAAACCTATTTGAAGAAATAATGATGGAAAACATCCTTAACATGGCAAAAGAAATAAACATACAAGTCCAGGAGGCACAGAGAGTCCCAAACAAGATGAACCCAAAGAGGCCCACACCAAGCACATCATCATGAAAATGACAAAGGTTAAAGACAAAGAGAGAATCTTAAAAGTAGCAAGAGAAAAGCAGTCAGTTACCTACAAGAGAGCTTCCATGAGATTGTCAGCTGGTTTCTCAACAGAAACTTTGCAGGCCAGAAGGCATTGGCAGGAATTATTCAAAATGATAAAAAGTAAGGATCTATAACCAAGATTGCTCTACCTAGCAG